TATTCTTTTTTACTGTATTCCTTGAATGGTGCCAAGGAGCGTAGGGGTGGCCTTTACAGGTCCTGCATTTAACTCTTTCTAGCAAAGAGAAATGTATGTTATGCTTTCCACATTGTAAATCTTGTAACCCGCAAGTCTAAAATTATAATAATAAATGATAGCATGATAGCTAATTGCTTTTTCAAAAAAAAAAAAAAATCAAAATCTTAAATATATAGAGTGGTTATATATGATTGTGTCAATTTTTATAAATCTTTTATTACCTGATTTTTTTTGCTTAATTTATTACTCTTATAAAAAACTTATTAATGAGTTGCAAATTCTTTTTTTTTAATACATTTTTTAATACATCCAGGCATAGTATCTATAAATTCAAAAAATTTTTCAGCTGGAATATTCTACAATAAAATTGTCTCTTCTAATTTGGATTCGATTAATGATTCTCATTTTTGTAAATCTAGTACTTGACTTCTTGCTATACATTTTCGATTGGACTGAGGTCAGGAAACTGTAAAGACTATTTCATAGTCTCAATTCCAAGCTCAGATTTAAACTTTTTTACAACTTTACTTTTATGTATGGATGCATTATCTTTCTGAAGTATTATTATATCACAAACCATAAGCATTGAATAAATGGTTTCAAAAATGATATTTGCATATTCTTTGCCTTTTATATGTGATATAGCACAAAGTAAATCATATAAACCAGACCTATTTATATATTTCCAGACCATTATGGATTTGTGATTACTTTTAATAGTTGCTTGAGTATAAAATAAATTGTATAATTTATCTTTATAGTACCAAATACAAATTTTTTCATTTGAATTTGTACTAATAGAAGATTTGTTGGTTCATAAGATATGTTACCAATCTTCTTTAGATCAATTTTTATAAGCTTTGGATATAGTAAAGAAGTATAAAAGTAACAAGTAAAGCAATTGAGAAAAGAGTTGGTCATTTCGATAGGACTATAATGAATTAACAGATCAACAATATATACTCGACCCTTATTTTAATCATTTATATAATTAGTTTTACTAATCATTAGTTTTTTTCTTGCAATATGAGAATATATATCATTTCTATTTAAAACTCTTTTTAAGGTAATTGGAGATATAGGCTTGGTTAAGAATTTGGTGGCAAGTAATCATTTTGGCATTCTCTGGATTTCTGGATTTGATTTTATTTTTCATAAAATTAAACATTCGAAGCATTGATCCACAAGTGATTTTTGACTCTTATTTATTTTTCTTAAATAATCTGAATTCCCAGTTGGTTTTAAATGCCTAATACAATTCTTAATGCAATTGTCTGATCTTTCAAGAATTCATGCAATTTTGGCTGCTGACATGCCTTTTTCTTTAAGCCTTTCTATAATAGAGCATTCAGAATCTGTTAAATCATTTTTGCGACCCATTGGAGTATACAAAAAAATTTCTGAATTTTTTATTCTTTAAATAATAAATTAAACAAAAGACAAATGTCTTTTGTTAACATGCAGTAACAAGCAGGAGTAATTTTAAGACTAATAATCGATTACCAAAATCTTTGTGATATAAAATTTGCAAGAATCGACCTAATGTGTAACCCCCTCTGTACAGTAATGCATGCTTTACTGATAAAACATGCCTTCTCATACTAAATGAAAATTTTCTATTATCAAAGCAGAGCTTAAACTGAGGGATATCTATTGTGAAGATGGTGGGAAATGAAGTAATGTTGACATATGACATCCTCCCCCAATTCAGGTATAATTGGGGATTTTCTCACATGTATAAAAGAGAGAGACAATTATATTGCAAGAGGATGAACAATAAAGACCCTTTCATAAAAAACTCAGCTCCATATCTAATACTTTCACCTATCTCGTGCCATATTCACATGCCTCTATTCGATGCTAACGATTGTAGCGACTGACTCGCCATTATCACCCCAACACTACATAACTGGATTCGGAAAGCCGATCCAATACGTCATTAATATACAGACATAATACGTAGTTTGAATTAACCATTAGTGATTGGTCAAAAACACATTATTCAACCTTTTTTCTGCGAATAGATATGATACTGTAACCAGTATAATTTCACTACGAAAACTCAAAATGTCCATTTCAAGTTCTCCAAACTCTGGCTGGAAACCAGTAATAAAGAAAGTAACTAAAATCCTAGATAAAATACTCCATAACTATCCCAAACTGCCAAAGTTTTCTTTAGTAGGAGAGAAGTGAGTATGTCTCACAAGTTTTTTTAAGATCTACTCAATATTGATTTATATGGTCCGCAGTTTGCCCTTTCAGATTGGATCGAAAGTTTCGGTGAAAGACTATAATACTTTTCTTGATCGCAACGAATCAACTGGATACAAGTTTCATTGGGACAGTGGAAATGTATTCATTATTGATATGGCCTATCCAGCTCGTGGAGCTGTTGTTGCACGGTTGATGAAATACTTTAATATTCCCAATGGTGACTTTGATGATGACCCTCCAATATATGTTTTAGGTCAATCATGTAAGAGAATTCTCTTTGTTTTACTTGACCTTTGGATCGTAATAACGTTTCATATTTTTCCTATAGTTCATTATGATCCAACTGTTATCGGAAAACAACTAGCACCAGACATTATAATCTTCCCAAATGTAACACATGTTCAAACCCCCAATTTCTCACAGCCTGGTCCTCCCCCCAGCGACCTAGAGGTACATCAAATTGTATACATTATCGTACTGTATTTATTTTCTTAATATTAACATGCTCACTTAGGGAAACCCTCATGGTCGAATATTTTGCGAAGTAGCTTTATATCAGAGCGTTGCTCTCTGGGATAAGAAATGTAAGAATTGGATGCATGAACAATATGTGCGATGTGTATTAGGTATCAAAATTTATGGTAAAAGAAAAGGAAGTCATCATCGGTCAATGACGGTATGTCTAACTACCTACTTTATTATTCCATAGTTTTATCTCTAACGTCTTTTTTAATATTAGGCCAAACTTTGGACACGTCAGAAACCAGCACCACCAGCAGTGAGTGTAACAGATCCAACAATGCCGGGAATACTTGTCCAAGAGGTAACAATTAATAATGGCTTGTATTCTCACGATCAAACATCAGAGGTTTAAAGTATAGCTTTGTAATATTATAGTGGGACTTCGAAACTTTACAATATAATAGTAATCAACCCACTGGTTGCACTAGAGCGAACATTCCTGCCTACCAAATAAGTATTCCAGTATCGGACGTTTTCTGGGATCCACCAATTGTTGCGGGAACTCTAATTACTACCAAATATAATGTAAAAGTTCCTAATGCAGTTATCTGCAATAATTTCATCATCGATTTGTATAGAATTCAACAAATTGTTTTAGAAATGCAGCTTTAAAAGATTAGAGTTAGCTATAATCCAGTGTTTTAATAAGGTTAATAAAAAAACCGATGAACGAAAACTTACATATGGTATTTTCCTAATAGAGAATTCACAAATCCATTTAGTTGACCCAGAATGTTAATAATGTAGCGTATAATCCGTATAGTAATAGCTTGTCATCCGATGCGTTCGGACAAGCTTTAAACTAATTAAAAAGACGATGATCAATCGATTAATTATACAGTACTCGCGCTTTATGTTTCTTTCTCTGATACAGAAGTAAGCACCAGTCAACATCACTAAGATTTTACGCGTCTCAACCGCGACTCACAGAACCGCGACTCACAGAAAAAAAATAACATTTTTTTACATATTGTAGATTTACAAAATCTATAAATGAGGGATTTCAAAGTAGCATAGCACACAATACATTTTCCAATTATTAATAACAGAATTTGGTGAAAAATTTGTTTAAACAAAGGTAACAATATTGTGTGAAGTCCTAATGAATGTCAAATGCTTCAGTGATGGCACGTTGAACAAAATAGAAGTCTAGTAGAATGGAATCAGGTAAAAGATTTCGAAGGATTTGGATAGGAGGTGTGGGGGTGTAGATTGCTTCAAGTCTTCCTAAATACAACATAATGAAATATTGATGATGCATTGATCTTGCAAAATATTTAATTGAACTCTGGTTCCATCTTGTATTCCAAATTCAAACTAATAATCATTATACATGCATTAGATATTTTTAATATGTTAATAGAGAAACGAATCACTATAGACTAACATTACCGTAGTTACAAGAGGAACTGTATTACTTGTTCTTCTACTTGCTGAGATACAGTGTAACGATGTAACGGCTAATCCTAGTAGAGATTCGCGTAACCGTCGTGTTTTAATTGATTGAGTCTTTATTAATTTTCTTCTCTAGCTTTCTTAACTTCTCTACTTGTCTCCCCATACCTTTAGATTTGTACAAGACATTTATACTTCTTTCTTTACATTTTGGCTATGGCGCTTTGACATAGAATAATAGATAATGATACAATGACAAGGCTAAAGCTAGATTACATTATTCTTTTTAACAATTCTTTCCGTCCCTCCTTTATTACCTAATGATTACAGTCGACTCACCATTATCGCGATGATGAATGACGCCGCGTTCCATTTCTCCCTGTTACAACAGTAATGCCAAGCCTACAACGAATTAATATTTTAAAATGTTATATAAATAATACAATGCTAGCCACGATACACTATAAATATAACTTACTCTCATACGGGTGGGCATTGACCTTGAGGAATCGGATCAATTATAATCATGAGCACGACCAGGATTAGGCAGACCCTATTAAAAAAAGTAGATAAAATTATTGGCTTCAAAAGTTCAAAATCAATAAAAAGAACAGAATTTACATTTCCATCGCTCTTATTTGGCGCAGTTACAGGTGACTTTTTTGGACGAAACGGTACATCGGCTTCTTTTCCACAGTTTCAGCCGCGTGTTCCTTTAAGAACAAAAAATTAATACTATTCACACACAGAGTTATATGTTATAATATTGATACTTAATGGTAGTTATTTTTAAAATATTGTACATTTTATTAAATAAAAATTTAAATATTAAGTAAAAAGTTATGAAACCTAATATTTAAATATTTTGATATATATTAGACAATAGCTTGTAAAGAATTTATTTTCTAAACTTTTAAATAATAAAAATTTTTATTATGAAAATTTTTTATTCATATCAAATTTTTATTTTTACAAATAAATTACAGAAAATATAATAAAAAAATTTGGTTTTCTTTTTATAACTTAAAAGATATTATAAGTATTAGATAGCTAGATTATTTAATAAATAAAAAAATATATCTTTAAATTATTTAAATTTTTAATCAAATATAGAAATTTTTATATATCTTAACCAATAATTATTTTATACATTTTATAAAATATAGAATATTATTATTATTATTTTTTTTTTTTTAGTGGAACGTGCGCAAGGTGCATGATCTTTATTGATACATTTATATATCCAGACAGACACCAAGTGTCTATCTACAAATTAACCGGAAA